CCGGCGACAACATCAAGCAGGATCTGCGGGCAGAGGCGGATGGAGTGTTATACCAGTGGGGGCACATGCCCCCAGTCAACTTTTAGAAAAATTTAATTACTACCCCAAATTCTTTTTAAAACCTAATCTTGCCCCCAATAAAAAATATACTTGCCCCTAGTAGTTTACTCAAAGAAACCATACGGAGTATTTTTCAGTCCAGCAGCTTCTGTCTTTCCTCTTCCGCATAAACCACAGAGTCTCGCCGGCAGCCGATTCAGCTTTCATCGCTCACCGGCTTTCCTGCTCGTATTGAATCTTGATCGCATAATCACAATCCGACCACACACGAGCTGAGTAAGAGGCTTTCTCTCTCTTTTTGAAAGTTTGATTCAGACTTTTAGATCTAATTATTCAATTTGTCAAATTTCAAGAATCAATTATTCTAAAAAGTAAAAGTTCTTAGTAGTGTGTACTCCATGGGTGTTTGCAGGTTTTTAGTGTATTTTTAATATTATTTCTATTTTTTATCGTAAATAATACTGTAATAGTATAATGCTTGTATTTTTTTGCAGATTCTTCTTCACAAATCAGTAATCAGACATCACTCATCATCAATTCTGCAATTCATCATGTGACGTAATATCTAAATCTCTAGTCTTTACTCTAATTGAATTATTACTATAAAAGTATATTATCTTAGTTGTATGATATGATAATCAATAAAAGTCAAGGAAAATCTTTAAAGCATGTTTGTCTTCTACTAAAATAATCCGTCTTTAGTCATGGTCACTTATACATTGCATTTTCTCGAGTGACAAATCGTTATGATGTTAAAGTTTTAATAGGCAATGACGAAAATAATGTACCCAAGCATACTACTTATGTTGTATTCAATGACGTTTTTTAAAATATTTGAAACATATTATAATTGTCAGTTCTTCTTAGATTTATATACCTATTATTTTTAATGATTTGTATTCGTGCACATTGCTTTAACACTAGCAGTATTCATTTTTTTGTAGAGATTTATTTTTTATCTCAGTATCTCACTACATTTCATGTAAGGAAGAATTTTTGTTAAAAATCATGGTACTCTTAACATTTAATTAATGAAAAATATAACGACAAAATGCTTACTATGCAATGCACGGGTACGATTTTAGTGTTTACTCAATAAAAATGGTTAGATGGAGTAAAGTTAAAATAATGATATAAAATGGTGACAATTAGGGTGTCATGGATGGGGTCAAGCTAAAGAAGAAGAGAGAGTTGGTGATGGCGCAATAACACCAACGAAAAGTCAAATCAACAATAAAGTCGATATACCACATCGCACAAGTGATTCATTATATGAATCTGATTGTAGAAGGGATTTTGACAATCCTAACAGTTGTTATAACAATCTTGTGAAGAGGATAGCGATTGTACCTGTTGCTGTGATCACTATGAAACTCACCAATATTGTTTATTTTCTAAATGCGTTTGTATGTTTAAAATTGGTTAATGAATGCAAATGTCATTGTAAGTCCTAAGTTAATTGACTGAATATCAATTCAAATAAACGTCGACAAAAATAACAAAGTACTTTAATAGTTTTTGCATGATTACAATATGAAATTATTAAAACAAAATTGGGTCTTACATACTTTTAGACTTATTTTTTTGTTTCAGCGTTTTGACTAGATTATATACAAAATTGTCCATCAACATTTGTTAATATTTGAAAATGACTTATCTATCATTTAAGTCATTTTATTTCTACGAGAGAATATTTGATATATATCACCAATAAGCCAATAAGCAGCAACATAGAGAAACAACACTAAAATTGGAAATCATCCTAAATAGGACTAAAACATAGAGAAAAGTACCAAAATAAGACTTTCATGTTTTTTTTCCCGGAATAAGACTTTGCACTGTGGTAATGTGACTTTGCATTGTGGTAATGTGGCAGTGTACATGTGCAAATTACTATACTTTTTTGGTAATGTATATGACTATGTTTGGTAATGTAAGTCCTATTTCGGGAATAAAAACATGAAAGTCCTATTTTGATATATTTTCAATGTTTTAGTCTTACTTTGATCTTTCTCCCTGATTTGTAGTATAGAACGGGCAAAACTAACAACTAAAAAGAACCCTTGTAAGTAGGGTGTCGAACCTCAGGGAGACGTGAATTAATTTAATTTAAACAAAAGTTTACAAAAGAAGTTGTAAAATATTTTTGGTCTTTTTGGTTTTAGAGATAGAAAATAAAAAGTGTAAAAGGAGAGCAAACAACACAAAGTTTTTATGATGAAAAGTTAGGGGTAGAAATTGGTAAATTAATTGTTCAATGTTTTTATAAAAGTTGGATTGTTAATTTATTTTTATATAGAATGTATGGGGTTGCAGAAAAGTATTTAGGGACGCTCTCGCAGTTCACCTAAATAATAACCACTCCGACTTTAACATGCTAATGATAAATCCGGAGTAATTATTTAGTAACAACGGCAACCATAATTTCTTGTAACAATTATGTTTATGATTGGGCCCTTAATTAAAAATCACAAACATTCCAAATTTATTTATTTTTAAATATAACATCTAAATAAAATAAAATTAACAATCCATATTAAAAATATTCAAAACATTAAGATGGAAAATTAATTACACCAACTTCTAACCCCAATGAAATTTAAAAGTTCATAATTTGAAGCTTAAACAAATAAATATTTATTACAAACATAAAAATCTTACAAGATGGAAGATGTGTTCTTGAGCTCCAAATATGATAGATGATGATGAAGATGAAGTAAATTTTATGTGTTTGAATGAAGAAAGTGGTGAGATATTAATGAGGGAGGAAGAGAAATTTGAAATAGAGAGAGTAGAGAAGTGGGGGGTTCAACCTCCTAGGAGAAGAGAGGAGATGTGATTTTATAGATAAATTCGTATATACGGAGTATATACAAATAGTAGCATAATGGGTCAAAACATCTCCTGTAGCTCACATGTAAACACAGTTGAATGTTGGCCGCCTGAATCCATGTTCGAAGCTTCCCACCGTTCTCTGTTTTGTCATTTTTCTCTCTCAATTCATGGGCCGAATTTTAGACAGATAATATTCCCCGTCCGCTATTAATAAACCGAGCAGTTAGTTGTGGCGCATTGGTCAGAGTTTCAATTCCAACACCCTCAAGTCCAGAGTTCAAACCTCAGCTTTCATCTCTTAATTTTTAAAATTTATTTCTTTCTTTTTCTTCAAATCTCTTCCATTTAATAGGGTAGGAACCGGCAGAACCTCTAAACTTATAGACCGAAAGCAGATCCACTATAAACAAGGAAAATATCGAACATGTAATTCATAAATCATTAATCTCTACATTCGACAACTTAATTGAGTATAGAATCTGATGGATATCGGGTCTGATGGACCCGACTCCAGGCCCAATAGAGGCCCACAATAGCACGAAATGGACTAAGACGCGTGTGGCGAATAAGACGGCCCAATCATGGGCTAAATTAAGATGACTCAGTCTGGAGAAGGAACGGGACACGTGGCCCACACCACCAGATTGTGGACGAGATGGGAAGAGAACGAGACCGGAAAAGAGGGAATCACAACCCCATGATCTCCATAATCCCTCCCATTATGTATAATGTTAATTACAATATTAGAAGTACTATAAAAGGGGAAAGAACCTGCCATTGTAAAAGGAGAACCCAAGCAATTCTATACTTAATCAAAGAATATTATTACGAGATTATATCTTTCTGGTTCATATTACGTTCTTGGTCCGCCATTTGATCGGGTTAATCCCATCATTGGTGCTTTCATTGAGAGAAACTGTGAGATAAAGTTGCGAGATTATGGCCAGACGAAGGTCGAGGCGTAACACCGCTGCTTCCGCCCAGTCGACGGTCAGGAGTGACCATCCCGAACAAGGTATGATCGTTCCTGTCAATGGGCTTGAAACGGCGTTGAATAATGTGGCTAACATGATGGCCAACATTATGGAACGCTTGGACCAGGCTCTCCCTGGCCCATCCTCCAGGAGCTTCATGATTCGGAGGAGGTCGAGAGGGAGAGGCAGGCCATCGCTAGGCGCTGGGCGGAGGAGATGGCCCGGAATAATAGGGCGAATGGAGATCGGACTAGGGTTGTGAGCCAAGTCATTGGTAACGGAAACGACAACCCGCGGGGAACCGTTTTTGAAAGGATATCTCACCAGAGGGCTCACGCGTGTGAGAGGCTGGGAAGAATCCGGACAAAGCACCCCAGGGTTGGGTACGACCCCAGGCCAGCCAAGTGGCTTCATCTAACCGCGAACCTCGGCAGCGAGCCGGCCGCGGTGGGAGCCAAGCGCCAGTGCGGTCGTTGGTGGTCTTGGACGAGGAGGAAGTTCAGAGCCAAGTCAGGGTCCCAGCACCGCAATGTCTGGGGCCACCGCAAGTACCTGAAGCTGGCGAATTCCAGGATCAGAGGCAACAGCTCCAGGAGATGCAGAGGAAGATAAATAGGGGACGAGTATTCACAACCCGGACGAATACCCACTTGCCCCGGAAATCGTTGCGGAACCATATCCGCAGGGATTCAAGATGCCATTTGTCAAGCGTTATGATGGGGATTCGGATCCCCAGGAACACATAAATAGCTATGTCTAGGTGATGATTGCCGTCGATGCCAGCGACGCATTGATGTGCCGGTACTTCTTGCAGACAGTTGATAGCAAGGTTGCGGATTGGGTGAATCACATTCCTGCCAGATCGATCCGGAAATGGGATGAATTGAGATTGCGGTTCTTAGAGCATTTTGCAGGAAACTGCCGTCCTAAGAAGCATTTCACTCACCTAACTTCAGTGCGGCAGAAGCACCGAGAATCCTTGAAGAATTTCCTTATCCGTTGGAGGAAAGAGTCCAGGGAAGTTGAAGGAACCGATGATAAATCTAGGTTAGCCATGTTCACGGCGGCATTGCAGGACGGTCTCCTTCATAGTGGTCTTACAACTCATCCCCCGGATACCTTCGAAGAAGCAATGGTCCGGGCCGGGAGGTATGTGACCCTGGAGGAGAGGAAGGAGGAGAAGAAAGAGAAGACTCCTAAAGAAGAAGAAAAGGTTGGAAATAAGAAGCCTTTCAAGAACAAGAAGCAAGGTTTCCCGAATGGCCCAAAAGGAACAAATCCTGGGACCTCGGAGAAGCACAAATCTGCCAATCCAGTCTTTACATTACCGGTGGCTGAGGTCATGGCCCATGCTGCACAAATCTGTCAAGAAGCATTTGAAGAATTGAAAAGATATCTGGCAAGTCCTCCGGTTTTATCCAAGCCGGAACCTGGAGATGTTCTGACTCTATAATTAGCAATTGTAGATTGTGCTATCAGTACTCTGATTGTGAGGGAAGAGAATGGGGCCCAACATCCGGTCTACTACGTCAGCAAGACCTTGAGAGATGCGGAGTTAAGGTATTCCCATCCAGAAAAGGTCATGTTAGCGGTCTTCTGGACGGCGAAGAGATTAACCCCGTACTTTCAGGCACACCAGATTGTTGTGCTCACTAATGAGCCTTTGGCGTCACTTACCCGGAGCCCGGCGGCATCTGCCCAGTTGACCAAGTGGGCGGTCTTCATCAGTCAGTACAATGTGGAGTTCAGACCGCGACCATCGATCAAAGGGCAGGCACTCGCTGATTTCCAGGTTGAGTGCACCGCCAGGGAGATGACAAGAGCCCAGGTTGGAACCCGAGTAGAAGACGACTGGTGGGTGATGAGTATTGATGGATCTTCTGGGTCACCTCTTCTCTTGGAAATAAAAAATATGTAGTCACTTTCATAGATGATGCGTCCTGATTTTGCTTTGTATATCTGTTACATGCAAAAGAAGAAGCCCTTGATAAATTTAAAATTTATAAGCAAGAGGTAGAGTTACACCAAAGTAACTTGATTAAAATTCTTCGAACGAATAGGGAGGTGAGTATTATGATCCAGTATATTTTCAAAGTACCGGTATAATACATCAAACAACTGCCCCTTATACACCACAACAAAATGGTGTTGCAGAAAGGAAAAATAAGACTTTAAAAGAAATGGTTAATTCCATGTTATCATATTCGGGCTTAGGCGAAGGATTTTGGGGTGAGGCGATGTTAACGGCATGTTACTTGTTGAATAGAGTTCCTAATAAAAAGATGAAAACAACCCCGTATGAACTCTGGTACAAAAAACCACCAAACTTAAGTTATCTTAAATTTTGGGGGTGTAGGGCCGTTGTTAGACTTACGGAACCAAAGAGGAAAACTTTGGGTGAAAAAGGCATAGATTGCATCTTCATTGGATATGCTATGCATTCCAAGGCATATAGGTTCTATGTTATAGAACCTAATGACTTTGTATCTGTAAACACAGTTATGGAGTCAAGAGATGCGATTTTTGATGAAGAAAGATTTACTTCTATATCCAGACCAAAGGATATGACCCCTACTTCAAAGGTCTCTCAAACTGTGCCTTCCATAAATCTTGAAGTAAGGAAAAGTACAAGAACAAGAAAACCAAAATCTTTTGGTGATGATTTTCAACTCTACTTTATGGAAGGAACAAGAGATGAGATTGAATTTCAATATCAATATTGTTTCAATATTGAGGAAGATCCTAAGACATTTAATGAAGCTATGGCTTCAAGGGATGTTGCATTTTGGAATGAAGCAATTCAAGATGAAATTGACTCTATTATGCAAAACAATACATGGAAATTGACAGATTTACCTCCCGGGTGCAAACCTCTAGGATGTAAATGGATCTTCAAAAAGAAAATGAAGGTTGATGGAAGCATAGATAAGTTCAAAGCGAGATTGGTCATCCAAGGCTTTAGACAAAAAGAAGGCATTGATTTCTTTGATACCTATGCACCTGTTGTTAGAATTTCTACAATTAGATTGTTATTAGCCCTTGCGGCTATACACAATTTAGTGATTCACCAAATGGATGTAAAAACTGCATTCTTGAATGGTGAGTTGGATGAAGAGATATATATGAAACAACCTGAAGGTTTTGTCATGCCTGGGAATGAAAATAAGGTTTGTAAGTTGGTGAAATCTCTTTATGGTCTAAAGCAAGCACCAAAACAATGGCATCAAAAATTTGATGACGTTGTTTTGTCGAGTGGTTTTGAATTAAACCAAGCAGATAAGTGTGTATATAGCAGATTTGATACTTCTGGACAAGGAGTTATAATTTGCTTATATGTAGATGACATGTTAATTTTTGGTACTAATCAAAATCAAGTTGATAACACCAAGGAATTTTTGTCATCTAGGTTTGCCATGAAAGACATGGGGGAGGCTGAAGTGATTCTTGGTTTAAGGATCAAGCGTAAGAATAATGAAATTTCTATTTCTCAATCACATTATATTGAGAAGATTTTGAAGAAGTTTAACTTCAAAGATTGTTCTCCGGTCAGTACTCCTATTGATCCAAGTCTAAAGCTCTTCCCTAATAAAGGTGTTGCAGTATCTCAACTAGAATACTCACGAGCTATTGGATGTTTGATGTATGCTATGATTAGTACTAGGCCAGACATAGCATATGCGGTTGGGAAACTTAGTAGGTATACTAGCAATCCTAGTTCGCATCACCGAGTATTTAAATACCTAAAGGGAACCATGAATTATGGATTAACTTACACCGACTTTCCTTCAGTTTTGGAAGGATACTCGGATGCAAGTTAGATAACTAATATGGAAGATCACTCTTCCACGAGTGGATGGATATTCCTTCTCGGTGGAGGAGCAATTGGTTGGGCATCAAAGAAACAAACTTGCATAACTAACTCTACAATGGAGTCTGAGTTTGTGGCTTTGGCGGCAGCCGGTAAAGAAGCAGAATGGCTAAGGAATCTGATATATGACATTCCATTGTGGCCAAAACCAATATCTCCCATATCTATTCGATGCGATAGTGAAGCTACTTTGGCTAAGGCTTATAGTCAAGTTTACAATGGGAAGTCAAGACACTTAGGTGTGAGACACATCATGGTTCGAGAGCTCATTATGCATGGTGTGATATCAGTGGAGTTTGTAAGGACTCAATAAAATTTGGCTGATCATTTAACCAAAGGGTTAAATAGAAACCTTGTGCAGAGATCGGCTATAGGGATTGGATTGAAGTCTATCTAAAAATTTCTCATGGTAAGAATCCCAATTCCCATCTAATAAGACATTAGATGCTGAATTCAATGTGGAAAATCTTAACATCTTGGAATTGGAACACATTAAGTATATTATCCCAAAGTATGTGTTCAGACCTGTAAGATTAGGAGGATGAAGTACGTCTTCTTAATAGTTCTTTTGAAAAATTGCATATGCAGGTGCAAGAATAAAGAGGGCTACCTATATGAGCATGAAGTTTAGCCGCTTCAAGAAGTAGAGACTTCACTTCGATATGCTTATGAAGGATTAGGACACAAGGCTAGTAAATAATAGTGTCAAGTTAGAACATTAAAGTATGTAAACTTTTGTGTATATTATTTTCATGTATTCAAAATGAATAGCAAGGGTTCAATCCTTAGTGATACCCTGATATTCGAATATTTGAAATGTGTAATGTACTAAGGTGAAATTCAATCGTCACGATATTTCATTAATCCATAAGTTTGTTGTTTTGCTGTGAATTTGTTTAGTTAATCAAGGATTACACTAAAATAGGGGAGGAATGTTATATATTTTAGTGTAATTGGAAAAACTATGACCAATGGTATCCTAATAATCATCAACGAAGTTTGGTGGTGCGGAGTGCACGCTTCATTGTGTTTGTTACGATAAAAATCCCGTTACATCGGGGGTTCCAAGGGGGCAGCGCCCCCTTGGCAGGGTTCGGGGGCAGCGCCCCCGAGCAGGGTTCAAGGGGCGGCAGCCCCTGCGGGGTCCAAGGGGCAGATCATTTAGAATTGGAATTTTAATTTTCGGATTTTCATTAAAAGAAAACCTCCGATTGGATAGCACCGAATTTTGGAGAACCTCCGGGCGAAGGACCGCGTAACTTGGGAAAGAGATGCGATAAGCGTCTTCTCCCTCTACCGCATGTTTATAAATTCCCGCAGGCCATGGTCGGATTTGTGTTCGGATTTTTCATAGCAATCCTCATATTTCGTTCTTGATACTTTCGAGTTTTATCCGATTGAATTTTGGAGTGAACAACCAAAATATTCAATCTGAAAGTGTTTACACAACTCTCGATTCATCCAAGTTATCATTAATTTCCCCAACAAAAGGCTAGGCTTCGAGTTTCATCAAGCATGTATAGACCGAACAACCACCCTAAGTCTGCCACAGTTAGGTTCAACAGTCGACCCACCAGCGTGAATGTGATCTTCGTAGTGGAGGTGACCTCGGCTGCTGACTTTGCTTCTTCTTTGTCATTGAGGAAGCGGAGAGAGCATAGAAACTCAATGGTGGCTTCCAGGCTAGCTGGTGCATGCAAGAACAGTAGGATTCTCCATTTTGGGTCATCCAATAGTAGGGAGTTGGATGGTGCCATGGAGTGGGGGTTACAAAATGATGAAGCAAGGGATATGAAGAGGGAGAGATCTATATATTAGAGGGGGAATTAATGGTGAGTTAAGGTGGGGGTTGTGGGTGGGGTGTGGCGTGTGAATGGGGTTTTAAATGGGGAGTTATCTCCCTAAAGCTTATTCCATTGTGTAAATTCTGACCTTAACAGAATGTGTTTTTCCCCCGATCTTCCCCGAAATGAAAACCGATTGAATTTTTCGGAAATAACCAGTCAAAACTAAATTTATGATATCTTCAAGATATTTTTCTCCAAACTTTATTTTCAAACTTCCGGGTCCACCCCAATCATTATATAATTTATTTACTTAATTAATGTCGAGAGACCCGTTATTAAAACACATTAACTTTGGGAAATCCATTTAATGATATCAAAATTTCAATACAGTATTTATTATTTAAAATAAGAGTAAATTCCATAATTGGTCCTTTATAACAAGGGGGTTTCATATTTAGTCCTCTATTATCAAATATTACCCTGGTGGTCCTTCTTTTATGGGTATCTTTCCATAAATAGTCCTTTTTTTTATATTCTATCATGTTGGTGTTAATTTGAGGGCTAAAAGTGTGATTTCACAATGATAATATATCATTTTTGTCATACACAATTCCAAAGGTTGTTCCGTTTTCATCGTTTGTGAACTACATTTGCTTTCTACTACAACCATAGTCTACAAATGTGGTTTTCAGTCGGAATCCTAGCCCACAATTATAGTCATTATTTTTGTATTATCCACTTAACCAATACCAGAACACGTCACTAGACATAAAGTTGATGTCAAATTATACTTTTAGCCTTTAAATTAACACCCAAATGGCGGAAGATCAAAAAGGACCATTTGTGGAAAGACACCCTTAAAAAAAGGACTACGCGGGTAATATTTGATAATAGAGGACTAAATATGGAAACCCCTAGTTATAAAGGACCAATTATGGAATTTACTCTTAAAATAATGAGTCTCAATAAATAAATAATATTTATTTATTTAAAATATTGGCTAAATATTAGGCCAATTTGTGAGGCGTTACAGGACTTTTCTCAAGGGTTTGTGCCTCTTGCAAGAGGACTTTCTTTGGACTTAGTACCTCTTGGAATACGACTTTCTTGGGACTTGATGCCTCCTGGAAGAGGACTTTCTCAAGACTTGATACCTCTTGGAAAAGGAATTTTCTTGGGGATTTGGACCCCTTGGAAGAGGACTTTCTTAGGACTTTGCGCCTCTTTAGAAGATGACTTTCTCGGGACTTGGTGCCTCTTAGAAGATGATCTTTCTTTCTTTTTAGTGCCTCGGGAAGAGGACTTGGTGTCTCAAGGAAGAGGACTTTCTCGGGGCTCGCTTTTCAATAATCTTTGGGAGCCTCTAAACCGCAACATGATATTGATCTCATGCTGTTTGGGTGCTCTGATCTTATTAAAGCATAGACGTTCTACACCCATCTCTCTTTCTAAGTCTTTTCTCTATCTTGGCACGGGAGTCTATGACTATCTCCAGTAATCCGATTATTTAACTCTACCAAAATTACAGATCTCTACTCTTTACAATATTACTTTTCACAACTTGTACAACTCGTCTATTGTATTTCTTATGGATAGGACTCGCAGGACAAGGGTCGAACATTGATGAAAGAATTTTAGTGGTAGTAAATTTCACTCTAAAGGAGATCTATTTATTCCCATGTTGTATTCACGTGGATTGGTGTTAAAATAAAATTTCTATTAAAATCTAGTTAGGCAAAGTATGGAAGCCTTCGAAATTCGAAAGGTTTTAATTGAATTCAGTTTAATCGGGCAAAGTAGAAATTTGTTTGACAAAAGAGAATCTGAATTGATTTCAGGTTGTAGACATGTATCAGATAAATTCACCAGTTGGATTATTAAATATATTAATTAATTGGGCTAGTGATTAGTTTTGCCATAATTATTCCATTAATGTGCTAGAATTGGTTGACTAAATTATTTTTCTCATATCATAGACAAATGGACATAATAACTTTTCAAAGATTAATTAATAAATTGGCCAAATTAATTAATTAGAATAATAACACAATTTCTAACAACCTAGAATTTTAATTAATGAAATTTAATATTCCAACTTAATTGGTTTTCCTACATGTTTACAACCCTAATTTCAATTCGCATCCCAAATATATTTAAAAAGACATAATAATAATAATAATAATAATAATAACAACAATAATAATAATAATAGTAATAATAATAATAGTAATAGTAATAGTAATAATAATAAGTGCACAATTTAAATAACTGAACATTTTATTAAAATATTTCAAAGAAACTTACCGCTTCTAAAGAAGCGGAATATGAGCAGGACTAGAACTGGAACTCTGAAATAAACGAAAATCTATTTTTTTATATTTTTCGTCCCTTAGAGATAAGAGAGAAGGAGAGGAATGAATGATAATTTGGAGGTTGGCGACCCGCCTTATATAGGCTTTAGATTTTTCAGGGCGGGAACCCGACCGGTCGCCCGAGCGCGGCCCCTAGTTTCTCGCATCCGGTTTCACTAAAACCGTCAATCTGACACGTGCGCTGACGCATTACCCGTGGGCAGGCACTTGGGTGGTCTCCTGGCCGGTCGTCGAAGGAAATATACGAATATTCCCTGAGAATATGCCCCGCCAACAATATATCCTCATGTTTGACATCTGGCCCTAGATCCTGGGCGGGCGCCCGGAAGGTCGCCCGAGCATACTTTTGACTCTTGACTCCAAATTTCTGCGCCAAGTTCCTCATTTTGTGTTGAACATTTTTCTCTTTTGAAACTACAGATGAATTTGATCTCAAGTATTCTGAAAAATTTATTTCCTTCAAAGTTTTACTCCGTTTGAACTAGTTTTTGGTTGAAAATTCCAGATTTGTTTTGAACATACTTTTTATAAACAAAATGATAACTTTGAAATATTTAAATAAGAAAATCATTATTTTTATTAGAAATTTAATTTATTTACACACAAAGAAACAATTAAATATGAGTAACATAATAAGTACAAAATGTACTTATCAAACATGATTTTTGGACCACAATGAAGGTCGACGGAAGGTGTGGCTCACTGGAATACGGAGGGTCTTTGGATAGTGGATGTCGGACAGCTCACTGGACTCCTTAGCTCCCTAGAGGAAGGAGGATCTCTGGACAGTGGACGACGGACATCTCACTAGACTCCCTTGCTCCCTCGAGGACGGAGGAACTCTCAACAGTGGACAACGGACATCTCATTGGACTCCCTTGCTCCATAGAGGACGGAGGATTTCTGGACAGTGGATAGGGAAAATCTCACTAGACTCACTTGCTCTTTATAGAATGGAGGAACTCTAGACAATGGACAGCGGACATCTCCTTGGACTGCCTTGCTCTTTAGAGGACGGAGGATCTCTAAACAGTGGGCGGCGTACACCTCATTAGACTCCCTTGTTCTTAGAGGACAGAGGAACTGTGGTGAGTGGACAACGGATAGCTCACTAGACTCCCTTGCTCCTTAGAGGATGGAGGAACTCTAGACAGTGGATGGTGGATGCTTGCTGAACTCCCCTGCTCCTTAGAGGACGGAGGATTTTCGGACAGCAGACAATTCACTGGACTCCCTTCCTGCCTAGAGGAAGGAGGATTTTTGAACAGTGGACAGTAGACAGCTCACTCGACTCCCTTCCTCCCTAGAGCACGGAGAAACTCTAAATAGTGGATGGCGGATGCTTGTTGGACTCCCTTGCTCCCAAGATGCAATCCTTTGAAAGGACTTTGGAAGCTTCAACAGACTTCTTGAGGCTAACGTTGTCCCTTGGATGGATCCTAGAAGTTGGAACGGTCCACTTGAGGCTAGCGCCGTCTCTTGGATGGATCCTATAAGTTGGAACGGTCCAGTTGAGGCTAGAACCGTCTCTTGGATAGATCCTATAAGTTGGAACAGTCCACTTGAGGACAGCGCGGTCCCTTTGAGGGACCTAAGAAGCTAAACAGGCCTATTGAGGTTGGCGCCGTCCTTTGGTGGGACACTTGAAGCTAGAACGGACCACTTGAGGCCGGCACCGTCCCGTGGATGGATCCTAGAAGTTAGAACGGTCCACTTGAGGCTGGAGCCGTCCCTTTGATGGATACTAGAAGTTGGAATGGTCCACTTGAGGCCGGTGCGGTGCCTTTGAGGGACCTAAGAAGCTAGAACAGACCTCTTGAGGTCGGCGCCATCCTTTGGAGGGACACTTGAAGCTAGAATGAACCACTTGAAGCCGGCGTCGTCCCTTGGATGGATCCTAGAAGTTGGAACGGTCCACTTGAGGCCAGCACCGTCCCTTGGATGTATCCTAGAAGTTGGAACGATCCACTTGAGGCTAGCACTGTACCTTGGATGGATCCTAGATGTTGGAACGGTCTACTTGAGGCTATCGTCGTCCCTTAGATGGATCCTATAAGTTGGAACGGTCCACTTGGGGTCGGAGCCATCCCTTTGAGGAACATATGAAGCTTGAACGGACCTCTTGAGGATAGCGTCGTCCCTTTAAGGGACCTATGAGGCTGGAATAGACCTCTTGAGGTTGTCATGGACCGTTGTAGTGAGGGAGCTTTCCGGACGAATAAGGGTTGACTCTTTCCTTCCCTTCCTCTTTTTCTACGGTTCCCTCTTTCCTGGCCAATCTCAAATATATTCTCTATTTTATTCGCTCTCTTTTTTTTGAAGTCCCTCTCCACTTTTCCTTAGTTCTTTTTATTAAAAAACTTTCTCTCCAACTTTTCTTTACTTTTCTCTCTTTTTTAATGACTCAGAGCACGTAAACTTTTCATAACCGATGTCCCACGGGTGGCGCGCGCTAGTGATGGAAACCACTTTTTCGGGGCGTCGACCTTACGAACTCGGTAACGAGTCAGCACCTCACCGAATAGCGAAATTTGGAAAATAAATAAATAAATAAAGCAGAGAGAAAGAATTTATACGTGGAAACCCGAAATGGGGAGAAAAACCACAGGCGTATTTAGGCAGTGCCATACCAAGGGGAGGAACTTTTATTAATCTCAGGGGAATTTACGTATACATCATTGTAGGAGCTTGAAGCCATTAATGGAGCTCCAAGCTTAAAGAAGAAAAAGAGGAAGAAGGAAGAATAGTAATAGGAGCTTTTGAGAATTAGCCTTCCTCTTCTCCTCTCCGTAGCTTCCCTTTAATAATGGGAAGGGGTGAAAGTGTGAAACATATCCTATGTGTGCGGATCCTCTCTAATTTGTTTTGTATCTTTGGTGGAAGATAAATAAATATGATCAGGTCCCACCAATATTATGTGTATATCTTTGGGCCCATATAAATCTTTATACATCTCATCAAATTATATTTTTTGTCTTCATATCTCTGACTACGTCTTGAATAATTTATCTTATTTATATGTGAGATTAGATAAAATTGGACTTACTTGTATTGTTCTAATAATAATGGATTAGATAAAATCCCTAAGATTGACGTGCGCTGGTAGCTGCTGATGTCGGAGAAGAATATAGAAGGTTACTCAAGATGCCTCTTTGACTGAATCCTTGACACTCCCTTTGTTTTTTCTTAGATCCGGGCAATGCCCTATTTTTTCCAGAAGGGATGTAGAGGTATTCTTTCCTCTTTCACTACTTCCCCTCTTGGCTTTGCTTTTGTGTTGTCTTTTTTTTTGGAATTTTATTGGTTAACACAAGAGAAAGAGAAGAAAGATTGATGATTAGAATGGGTGGTTTGAGAGAGAAAATGGGGGATTAAGAATTGGTGATGAAAAAAGATCTAGGTCTGAGAATCTTCGATCGTGAATTGTAGAGAAACAACTATCATTTTTTCCATGATTTTGAAAAGATACAAGGATGAGTTGAGAGAGTTCGTGAGAAGTTGGGTTTTTTTGAAGAACCATGGAAATGACAAGAGAACAGTTCTTCCTTTGATGGTTTTTTTGTGTGATTTCAACAGGAGTTTTTTTCTTTTTTTCATTTGAATGAAGAATTTGATTTGAGAATAAAAGAAAGAAAAGAAAATAAAGATGAATAGGGTGGAGCCACCGTCGCTGGAATTTTCGGCGGTAGTGACGAAAGCAAAAAACTCTTTTAGATCGCCAAGATCAATGACTCCGATACCATGTTGAAATATTGGATTAGTAATATGGCTCATTAAATTATGGAGTACATCGTAGGGTATGTATAGGAGAGACTCCAACTTTGTTCTAGTACGTTGGTATATCATCATGGTGCATTGCTAGTGTTACCATTCCTCCAACTAAGGGGCTGTTTGTTTCAGCCTCTTAATGGTTCAGATGTCTGAATGGTTCAGCACTTAATGGTTCAGACTGTTTGTTTCAGCCTCTTAATGGTTCAGATGTCTGAATGGTTAAGAGATTTGCCTCTGAATGGTTAAGTATTATACAGAGTCTGAATGGTTAAGACCTCTTATTTGAATTGATCAGACATTTGCCTCTAAATAGTTAAGCAATATACTAGCTCTTAATGGTTCAGACCTCTTACTGGTTCAGCACTTAATGGTTCAGACATCTTACTGGTTCAGCACTTACCGATTCAGAAGTTGCCAAACAGCCCCTAAAACTTCCAATGTTGCGGTGCCACCTCCAATGGTACTAGGAACCAAGAGGCTCAGGCCAATACCTAATTGTAAAAAAAATAAATAGAATCAATTATAACCATTATAATAAAATAAGTAAGAAATTAAAATTCAATGCATGTCATTGCAAATAATTATGAAATATTGTAAAAATTCTGTAGCAAAAATTTAACATTTTAATATTTTATGTTGACTCTATAAAACTAAATGTTTTTGGGAGAAGAGAAATATTTTTTATTCAAATTGCAGGACTACAATTTTTTTTACTCGTATTTATTATTGACATTGATTTGACAACAGCAACAACAACAACAACAATAATAATAATAATAATAATTGTAATAAGTATAATACTTCGTGTAAAATTTGCACTGTGTGTTTTCTTTCTTTCTGGGTACATTACAATTACAGTAAGATCACATTCAGCTACATGTCAATGTACATAGAGCTATGAAAACATAATGTTACACTAAACTGTGCACATACACATATCAGATCACATAAGGCATCCCAACCTCCAGCAGAGCAGCGTGAGGTATGTTCAGGGCAACGGGAGGCTCTCGGCAATTCTTGTCCAGAAAGATATAATTCATCACAAGGAACCGCTTGAAAAAGTTTGACCCTTCGCGCACCGTTAAGTTTGACTTTCCCAAGAAGTACGCGGCCCCGTTTTCCCGAGCATCAACTAGCTCCTGCAGCTCCATTCTCATGGCTGGGTTCTCCCTGGGACTCCCCTGGGGCAGCACGAACCGGACCCTCTTTCTCCTTTTGGGAGGGGTGCCCTTCAGAGGGCTTCTTTGGCTTTCAATGTCAGGTGAGGCATGTGGAATGTCATCAATGTCCTCCACAGGAATCAGAGCATTTGATGCATTGTGTCCTCCCAAGGCAATCATCCTTCCTTCTGGGGAGGCAATCACTTCCTGATGACTGCCATTTTCCTCCCTGGAAATGAACTCTCCTATAGAAGTAATGACATGGTCTTCAAAATCATTGGTGTCCCTCATTGGGTCACAGTACCCATAGCAGACAATGCACCGGTAAATCTTGTACTCTTTGTGGCCCACCCTGCCAATAAGGTATCTCCTTTTGGAGGGGATGTAGGGCACGGGCAATGGCTTGAAGGACACGAGGACTAGAAGCTGGTGAAATGCTGGGATGTTTGCTATGAAATGGGAGAAAAACGAAGGGATACCCGTTGAGAGATCCGTGTAAATAAACCCAATGCCCGGAATCCGATTAACACCCAATCCGGGGCTGAATTCGGTTAGCCAATCCAAGGCAACCTTGTTTTCTTTGTCAAACTCGTACTTCTTAACAGTGCCGTAGTGCCATGAAAGCATAGTGGTCAGAAAAAGTGAGGCGAGTATGAGGATACACCAGGTTCCCTTGGAAAAGTTCATCAGACAAGAGAAGAGGTACACGGCTTCAACCGTGCCGAAGGCTAACAAGAAGCAGACTGAGAAGAAAAGGCTTCTCTCCCAGTAGAGCGCAATTACAAGTGCCATAAGACAGGAAGTGACTAACATCCCACAAATAACTGTTAAACCTGGCAGCAGTAAAATGTGGTGTATATGATAATACATACAAGATAATTTAAAATAAAATTTTCATGTTATTAAGGGTCCGTTTGGTACACGGAATTGATGGAATTGGAATTGAATTGGAATTTAAATTCCATGGGATTCAATTCCATGGAATTGAATTCACCAATTCTAATTCATTTTTTGCACTATCGATTCCAAATTCACATAATTTTTGTGCTACCAAACACCTTAATTGGAATTGAAGTCCTCAATTCCAATTCCATAGTTTGAATTTTGTATATCAAACGGGGCCTAAAAAAATTCAACGTATATTTTATATTTATATACTCCCTTTGTCCCATTAAAAGGTTTCACATTTCCTTTTTTGTTCATCCCAAAAAAAGGTTCCACTTTCCCCTTTTAGAAAGATATCTTTGGTCCTTGTAATTTTTCTCTCCTCTACATGACTTTCAACCACACAATTTTACATTTTTTCTCATAAATTATGATACATAAATATACGAAATAAAAGACTGTTAATTTTTTTTTGCCCATTGATTCATTTGTATTTGAATTGAATGAGAAGAAGCATTTGCACACCTGTAGCATTGGCAATAGCGGGTATATCCTGCAAACCGAGTGTGATACCTAAACTTAGAGCCATCAAAATCCATGTCATATCAGGAATATAAACCTGGCCGTATATCTTATCTGACGTATGGATAACTTTAACTCTTGGGAAGCAGGCCAGTGCTTGACATTGGTTTATGCTTGAATAAGTTGCCGTAATGGTAGCCTGGCTACCCACAAGAGATGCCACTAGGGATAGTACCGTGAAAACATGATGAAGATTTCCTGAATTTCAATGCGTGCTTCACAAGCCAAGAAGTGGAAAGGTAGGGGGAGGAATAAATTTACGGCATGTTTGGGAACTGTAATTTGGATTTCAAATCCGGATTTGGCTCAAATTCTATGATCGGGAAATCTTAAAATTTTGGATTCGAATTTGAGGCAAATTCCTCTAGTTCATTGCAAAGCTCAATTGCAAATCCTTGTGTCTCCTCTCGTCATTTGATATTCAGAAATTCAAATTTTTAAATTGAAATGCAAGAATTGAAATGAAATGCTAGTTCCTAAACACTAACCTAATTCATAACAAAGCTCAATTCGAAATCCATATTCCTCCCCTTGTCATTTGAAATTCAAGAATTCAAATTTTGGAATTGAAATGAAATTTAGCTCCCAAACACTACCTTAGGGAAAACAAAATCACATTAATAAGAAGACAGAACTTACTACTGTTGGGTAAAGATTCGCTAAGATGCGTAACATCAGGAGATGCACCTAAATGTGAGGAGATAAATGCAGCTTGTCCGGCATAGCTAATTACAAGGATGGGGTATATTATTAGGGCAAATGTGACCTGCATTATCCAAAAATTGTTCATGAAAATCAAAATATATTATGCATCTCTCATTCCCATCCCGCCCCTCCTCCCCCCCCCAACCCAACCAACCGCCACTCTTGCATTGCCACACATACACAAATGCATTACTTTTATGTCCATACCTGGATGGATTTCTTCGAAAAATGTCCTAGATCAGCAAACATTGCTTCAGATCCTGATGAACAGAAGTCATTAACATGTGAGGCTGGGGCGTTTCAAATTTCAAGATATCATAGCTTTCCATTTCCCCGTGGATTATGCCTCTATGTGAAACATGATTATTTAAAAGTAACAAAAAATTCAGTAAATGCCTTGCCTGCTATGCATAAGGCAATGTTCCCTAAGAGTTTCCATCTTCTGGTTCCTGCTTTTCTAAAGAACCTAACAACATACACAGGTGAGACTGACCGAAGGATTGTAGGGTGGTGGATAATATTATATATGCCCATTGTGCTGATGAAAATGATCCATATTATGACAACCGGAGCAAAAAGGAAGCCAATCTTATGGGTTCCATACTTTTGCAAAGTGAAAAGGCAAACCAGTATAGCGCAAGCTGAAGGGACTGGGATATCTGTAAATAAATATCATGATAAGGGTAATAAGGTAGGAGCACATTTGAAGATTGCAGGCCATATAATGCAGATGAAAATGCAGCATAAGCTTAGCTAAACTTTGTGCACCCCTAAAAAAACACCTTCAAAGTTTGTGCTAAATTATTATTACCCACATTTTGTCAAATACTTGTCAATGGATTCTACCTTTCCAGGAGAGACCGCTGTTAAAAAAAGAGAGAATAAACATCAAAATTTCATTAATAATTAGAAATTTTGTAAACACTGCCAATTACTGCAATGCAGATAGAGCTAATAAAGCCAATCCTTACACTGGTGCAATATTTTTGATATGGAACGTTTTAGTGTTGAGGTCGCGGACAAAACTGAAGAATGAAAACGGAACAAAAACATTAATTCAAAGTAGAAACTGTTTGGTAACCCATGAAGAGAGTAGTCAACAATGATATGGTTTAGCTGTATTACAAGAGGTTGATGAATAAGACAAACCAGAAATGGAAGGTGTTAGAACTCCATCACATATTATTGAACAAGATCCAATCAGAGCCAGAAGCAACAGCAAATAGTGGCAGCTTTTATGTTTTTCAATTGCCCATCTAGCTCTAGTTCTCATTTTGATCCTAAATGGGGTCTCCTTGTGATGCATTGTCTCAGCCGCACTTTTATCACATGGAAGCAGCCCAACTTTGGCATGCCTACACAGCAAAGAATACAATGCAAAAGTACCACCTGCAACCACTCAGAACAACACAAGATAATTAGAATAAATGAAGAATGAAAGAAAATGCCCAAAAAGACCAGATGTGGAGAGATTTTAACCTTCCCCCTCATCGTCAGCATTCAAAACTATAAGCACATATTTCAACAAGGGGATGATAGTCAATGTCCAGAAAGCAAAGGAGAAGAGTTCATATATCTCCTCCTTTGACCTGACATCCTCCGGGTCAATGGATCCAAATGCATACAAAGGAGCAGTGCTGAGTCGGCCATATACCACTCCAAGGCTTTGAAAAGACAGAATAGCGGTTCGTCTCCATGTCTCCTGCAATTTAACAAATATAACATTCCTAAGAACATTAATTATGTGACTGATAACAAAGACAGGACAGTCTTAACAGTGACAATATCATTCACATCATAGATAAATTCTGAATTTTCACTGACACTCAACTCAACAAAGTGTGAACCCTAAAATTGTTTACTGGATATTATTTATATCCTGTAATTATGATAGGTAGATTCCTAATCTTAATCTAATAGGACCTTTTTAGGAGTTCTAACCTTATTAGAACTTCACCTTCTCTGTATACATACTGGATTAAGTTGATCAATAGAATCAAGCTTGTCAGTGATAATAATCTTACAGATTTCACCAAGTAGTAGAAATTGAAAATCCGCAGTCAACCAAGGATTAGTATTCAAACATAATAAAAAAAGGGCATTCAACTTTTAAACAAGATTTGGCATTAATAAACAAAACCCAAGAATCGGTACTAACCCATTGCCGAGTAAAGCTAGAAAATATAGATTCTAGAGCAGAAAAGTGCGAGAGGCTCGAGGAGAAGAAGAAAAATTAACTAATTGTTCACCTTGTTGGAAGAAGGATAAGAGAGAGACGCGGAACTGAGTGAAGGATCCATAGCTTGATTTTCTTGAGAAAATCTTCAACTTATCTGCGATTCATACTGCAATTTACCAAGTAAGAACCACTGCGCAGGCGTCGGATGAAAAGTAGGGGACTGTAGAGACGACAAAAAGTAGGAGAAGGAGACATTGATTTTGTATTACGGAGTGTAAGAAATTGCTGTCTGGGTGCCCATGGTTGACGACAATTATTTGGATAAGGAATTTGTGCCCCAATTTGTATTGAGGGATACACTAACATTTTGTGTTGGTGTAATGATAATTTTTGTTAATGCACAAATACTTTGTGTCAGTTTAAATTTTTGTTAATGTACCAACACTTTGTGTAACCATCAAAATGTTAGTACATACCTTTGGTGTACAAATGGAGTACAAATTTTGGAGTACATGTAGCATGCTCCGAATTATTTTGCTAGAGTCACAAATATAATTTGGTTATCAAGAACATCATTAAGATTTCTATGTGAAACACCAAATTTCTTCAAAGTTCCTTCAAGTTTTGCAACTCGTTGTTTTAGTGATATGCAAGAGTCACATTTAGAACCTTCCGGTTTGTCGGCGCTTCTTTTTCCGAAAAACTTGTTTTCTTCTTTAAGTTTTTCATTATCTTTTGTAAGCTTGTCAACTTCCTTCTCTATAGAAGTAAGTTGTTTCTTTAAATCTTTGTTTATTTTAGAAGCGTTGACATATTCATCGTAAAGTTCATTAAAGGTCTTGCATATCATCAAAAGTGTAGGAATCTTTAGAAGAAGTGGTACATACCTCTTCCGGTGGTTCCTCGTGTGCCATGGCATAGGTTGGCGCTTTCATTTTCTTCGCCATCCGAAGACTCGTCGCCAGAATCACCTCCCCAAGAGATGTAAGCACGGTGCTTCTTGAACGACTTCTTCTCCTTTTCGTTCTTGGCATTTGGGCATTTTGGTTTGATATGCCAAATTTCTCCACACCCATAGCATTTGGGTGGTCCTCCTTGCTTCTTCCCTTTTCGTTCATACTCTTTACGCATGAACTTGTGGAATTTCTTGATTACGAGCCCGAACTCGTTGTCTTTGTCACTAGAGTCCTCCACAGCGGGTTCTTGGCTTGTGGAAGCCTTGAGTGCAATCCCCTTCTTCTTTTGTTCACCTAGAGAGGGGTAAAGAATGGTAGACTCATAGGTTTTGAGATTACCTCTAAGTCCGTCAATGGTGACATTGGTGATGCCGATGGACTCTTGGATAGCATCGGCCTTAGAGCGCCACTCCGGTGTGAGACTCCGCGGGATTTTTCTCACGAGCTCTTTGTCCGTGTATATCTTCTTAAGAGCGTGAAGGTCATTAACGATTTTTGAAATTGTTCAAACGTATCGTCGATTTTCTCATTCTCTTTCATACGAAATAATTCATATTCATGCGTTAGAAAATCTATTTTAGCTTCTTGGACTTGATCCGTACCTTCATATGTGATTTCAAGCTTGTCCCACATTTCCTTAGCGGTGGAACAACATGAAATCTTCTGGTAGTCATCCGGATTCACCGCACAATAGATGATGTTGATGGCCTTGGCGTTGTTCTCTATCTTCTTGATATCCTGCGCATCGTATTCATCCTCGATTTTGGGAACGGTGGTTTCCCCGACTTTCTTCATGGGCACTTCTTCGCCCTTCTTAATAATTCTACACAAGAGAAAGTTGGTGGATTGGATGCAAATCCTCATCCGCTCCTTCCAATATGTGTAACCGTCAAACAACAGTGGTCTCGTGGTGGATTGTCCTTCACCTATCCCTGCGTATAAATTTTAAGTAGAAGCCATTGATCATTTCTCTCAAATGGTTAAGTCTTTTAGAGAGTATGGATCCGATACCAATTGTTAGAATAAAGGCCCAACGCTAGAGGGGGGTGAATAGCGTTTAAAAAAATATCACAGGAATTTAAAACGAGGAAGGTAAAGTAAAGAGCATAAGGAAGGAGCACACCGTATTTTACCTTGGTTCAACACAATGTGTGGCTACATCCAGCCTCCCGAGAGACTCTCTCGAGTTACACTAACTCTGTTAAGCTTAAAGGTGCTTAACAAATTCATACAACCTGAGAACTCGAGTCACACGAGCCTCAACGCCTTTTGCTCGGAGATACCGCACTCCAAAACTTCACACGAAAGAACGAAAACTTCCTCCGAATTATAACAAGGGAACAAACATCCCTTCAAGTGTATAAAAATACTTAAACACTCAGGAATAAAACTCTCACAAAGAGCAGATATGAGTGAACTAGTAAACGCTCAAGAACATGACAATTTCTTCAAGAATTGGCTCTCAAAAGGCTAAGAAATTATGAAATATGATAATAAAATGAAAGAGTATTGATTGTTGAAGAATTGTGTGTAAAATGACAGGTTTTGGGTGCCAATTTATATGCTAAAAGATTATGTAGTCGTTGTAAGAACTTCCAATAGGATCAGGACAAATTTTTCAGAATCACAGAGTGATAGTCGATTATCTTTACATGATAATCGATTATCAAAAGATTCCGCGTCCAAAGATTTAAAATTCTATCCGTTGCAGGGCAACGGTCACACTGATAGTCGATTATCAAATTCTGATAATCGAGTATGAAACCTCTCTGAAACATTTGGGTTTTAGCAACAAACCATGATAATCGATTGTCAATATGTGATAGTCGATTATTGGATGGTTCTGAACTAAGAGTTTAAAAGCTGCAGGGGCTGATAATGGAATGTTGAAGAGTGGTACTCGATTATCACATAGCTAAGTCCCTGCCAATGAAAACCCAACTTGAAAAATCGAGGTCAAAAAACGAAGTGTTCCCAAAAGTAAAAACCAAGGTTGAAAAACATTGTTTATGGTATAAAATAGAGAAACCAAGACTTGTCAATTAAAAATCCAGTCTTCGAGGTCGTAAGTCACGTGTTGACCGCTTTGACTGATTTTCACGTGTTTAGACCGATTGACAATCATACACAAGTAGTTTTTATTAAATGATTGTTTGGGAACCTTTTAAATATGCCCAGAGGTAAAAACCAAGTAAAAAATATTGAAAACCACTTGGTTGGTTCGGACGCTGAAAACCGAACACCGAATACTGAATGCTGGACACCAAATGTCGAACGCCGAATGCGTGGTTTTGGTTTGGGCAAAGACCAGGGGTTTTTACAACTTTGAAAACTTTATGAAAAAAGTTTATTTGATGCATAAAAACGTTTCATATAAAAATATTTTGACTCCTTGAGAACCGAGACTTGACTTGATTATCAGTTTTTATCACAATGAAACTGACTCAACTAAGTCTTCAAATCTTGATCTTGTCTTTGAGTCTCTTGGTCTTGTTCCATGCCTTACTTCACGCCTTGAGTTATTCAATGAAACTCTTCATATCCACGGCGGTTTGGAAATTATCAAAACCTGTCAGAAACGGACACGACTTTAGTTCAATGCAATGTAAAGTGTGTTCCAACAAGTTTGAGGCAAAAGATGAGCGAATGAAGAAGTATCTGGACACATTATGGAGCAGGTGGGGAAAGACTTATCGAGCCCAACTCCCGTAGGAGGGTGGAGGAAAAGTCGTCCCTATCCGCTGCCAGAGCGCTTACCGATCGAGGGGTGGGATGAAGCTCCACAAGAAATGTTGCAGCTCGTAATCGCCCTGCAGGAGCAAAGGGTTAGGAGGGAACGCCACTTTGACCAAAGAACAATTCCCGAAATCCGTCATGTGAGGAGATTTGGACCTCCTCGTGCTGGCCAAGGCCGCGTCATTGGACAAGGCCGCGCCTTTGCGTTAGTTTCTTGGCCAAAGGAAAGTCCTTAGTGGACGGGCTGGGGTGCGATGTCGGGGGTCAGTCGTCAGAGGGCCCTCGTGCACTTTTGGCCTTGCTCTCTTCGCGAAGGAGCTTCATCCTAGCCGTCGCGGAGAGCATGATTTCACCTGTGGAAAACAAAAGGAGAAAAAAGAGGTGAGCCTGACACTTAGCATACACTGATAACGGGTGATGGCCCAAATTGACCGAGGAGAAGCGAAGCAGACCTGTGGGGCCCTCCTCGATGCTCTGTTGGATGACTTAGCACTAGGACTCTTTCTTCTACGAGAAAGTGTACCCAAGCTCGGCCAATGCCTGGTCGGTCACCAACTCCTTGGGCTCGTAGGGCCCCCTCACAAAGCTTTTCCACATCGGCAACCATCTGGAGCGTCGTAAATGGTTGGGTTCGCCGGCGGAAGGAGCTGTGGGCAGTTTCACCGAAAGGGGAACCTGAGCCTAGAAAGACAAAGACGAACTTCGCCCTCCAGGTCTTGATGGAATCCTTCTTAGACTTGAAGATTCCCTCTTGCCTTTGGTAGAGGGCGGCATAGGAACCGGAGTCCAAACCGGAAGACTTAGCCACCTGGAAAAAAATATGGAGGCGGTCAAGGTCAGGACGTACCTCCGTTTTGGAGGCAGCATATTAGGAACCCCTCCAGGTAGCGGTGCGAGTTTAGTACCAACTAGCATGGGAGGAAATCGAGGTGTTTGAAGAACGAAATAGTCAAGGGATGAAGAGGGAATCGGAACCCATACTGAAGGGATTTAACTGGATCACGAAGAAACCCAGAGGGGCATCAAAGACCGACTCTTCAGGGGTGGGCCGATGGACGGTAACATAAGGACCAGCGTCGCGCACGACCTTGCGATATTTGTCACCCAACAGATCGCATTTCCAGGAATGGATGACCGAGTCTACTAACAACGTCCGCTTTTGGTAACGAGGCTCGATGGTCTAAGAGATTTCAGCTGCCTCTATCTCTTTGAGAGATGGAGAGCTCGATTGATCCTCTTGGTTGTCCTGAAGGGCGGAACCCTGACCACCAAAACCGAGCAGACTCTCGACCTCGGATAGGCCCATGGATGAAGACTCTACAAACATCGGAGAGCAAGAGTGAGAGAACTAACCTAGTGGGAAGAGAATGACCGGGGGTTGCTCGTCAAACGGTGATGAAACAGTGGTGAAAATTGGTGGCGTGACGGTGAAATGAAGAACACAGGGGTGATATTTATACTAGCGGATGATGGGCCAAAGAAAATAACCTGGACCGGTGCAATGATGGGTAATGATAGGGCAACCTAGGAAGACGAAACGTCGCCACCCATCACCTGGGGAATACCAAACGACGCCATCCATATAGGCGCGTCCACGCGTGGGCCACGCGCGTGGTGCCCCAGGGCACTCTACTCTCACGCGTTCCCCTGTCAACCGGGGAGTGGGGGGCTTATGATGGAGGATAATCCCACGTCAAGTCTGACATGGGGTCTAGGACCGGATCCCACGACCAGAGTAAGCTGGAAGAGGGACGAGCTCAGTCCCTTGGTCTTGGCTTGGTAAATACAGGCTCGGCTCAAGCATCGAGATCCAAGGAACAGATGACACTAACGGGGGGACAACGACCGGATGATAGGGACTGGATGATAATGACTAGGTGAAAGGGACTAGATGACGAGGATCGGGTGATGTCGGCTAGACGACAAACTAACGACCACAGGGGTTGACTTAATTGTATGGTTGAACCTTTAAATAGGCCAAGGCCTTCTCATTGTAAAGGATCTGATTTCAAGCTAAAAATACTCCTACTTTGCACACACTCTCTCTATATCTTTACATTCCTAAGCTTACGTAGCTCACCGACCCCACGGTCGATATACTCGGTGGTTTATTGTCATCAGGTATGTTTAAAATAAGGGGGTTTATTCAATTAAGATTTCAAAAGATTTTTTTAGATTTTTTTAGAATCAATTGATTTTGTAGAATTTATGGATTATTTTAATTCCATAAGGATTTAGACATATTTTAATCAGGATTTAAAAAGCCTATAATTTTTTTATAAAATTCCACGTCTAGGACACCCCAACAAGTCAGAGACAGAACTACAAGGAACCCTAAATAAATAATTGCCCAAATTATTTGCCGCTCCCAAATGTCCAAAGCAGATCTGAGCATCTCTCTACGGCATACGCCATAGCTGCCCTCACACCCCCGACCTCCATTTGTCTCCACCCATCTGTTGAAAGAAGCCAATCATCTCCTTGAAACCAAGTACTGCAACCAATCCTCTAACCCGATTTTGGTGATTCGTTTCTGGCTATTTCTTACAAAAAGGCACAATCAGGACGCCCTTACTTCGACAGCCCTACCGCTCCTCTATCCATTTCCCAATCAATCTGCTAGTGGCCTTGTTATCCGACTAGCCATCATCGTGATATGTATATGAACATCATGATAGACTTGAATATCTTGGAGGTTAAGTGAAGAATGACGGTGATGAAGATGAAGAGGATAAAGAACGAGTTCGTGCGAAAGAAGAGAATAGGAGTGTGCAAAATCTCAGGGCTTTTCATAAGATTTACAACTTGGATTTGTACTTAGCTTATACCCAAGGCATGAAAATCCATCAAAATCCACATTATTAAAAATCTATTGTTTTTTTAATACCACCATCTTTAAAAGGATTTTTAAAATTAGAATTGAATATACCCAGATTTTAAATGACTTTTTAAATTCTGAATTGAATCTATCAGAATCCTGATTGAATACACCTCCTAAGTTTGTACATTTATTCAAGTTTTAACTTTTTATGGATGAATTTAAAAAAAAAATTAACAAGCATTTGAAATACTACTCCCTTCGTCTCGAAATTATCATTTTGTTTACTTTTTCTTGGTCAAAGGTTTCTAAGGTTAACCATAAAATATGGAAAAATTTATTGAATTGTAATATAAACATAGATTCATTTTAAAATAAAGTTTTAAAATATCATACTTTTATAATATAAAATTATATATAAATAGAGACATTAATGGTCAACATAACACATTGAAAATTGTGAAAAAGCAAACAAGAAGATAATTCTAAAACAGATGGAGCATTTTCTTATCATTTTTTATTTTAAATGATTCATACATAAACTTAGTTTTGTAAGTATTTTCTTGAATTTTATTATTCATTTTTTAGTTTTTTATACTTTTTATTTAAATGTACTTTCAACTTTTTAAAATTAAAGGATTTTGTTACGTTCTAAAGTTCAATTAGGTACATAATCTTTAACATGCTTTTGATCAAAATATAGAGCAAATGTTTGATATATGTATAAAAAAATATCACGTTCCTAATAGGGTAAGTCTGACAAAATTTTCCTTGCAGTGCCATACGGAGTTACTTAATCCGTTTCTCCTCGAATTATTTATTGAAACGGAGTAGCGCACTCCGTGTCAGGTTTTTTATTTTGAATTGAACCAATACGGAGTTAGCTACTCCGTTCCGGTCTGAACTAATACCATACGGAGTAGGCTAATCTGTCTAGTTTCTACAACGCACCCCCCATCCACACCCATTATCCATCCATCCCACACGGAAACAAAAAAAAAGAAAAAGAAGCTGAAGGAGGAAGAGAGACCACCAGAGGAAGATTGGAGAAAGACTACGCTACTCCGTTTCATGGTGGTATTTTCTATTTTTGACTTAATTTATATAAACATTTATCATTTTATGAAAATATTGAGATATATATACTTGTTAATGAAAATTTGAGATTCATAAATCTATTTTCTCATATTGATAAAAATTTGGAAATTTTGATAAAAATTTGGAAATTTTTTTATTTTGAGATTGTAAGATATTTTTTAACATAATTAGTTACTTTATGAGTTTTTATTATAATTTTCTTCTTTTGCTTTTATTAAATGAATAAATTATTATGTTGTAATCTTTGAAGCAAATGGGTGTTCATCTAGGACCTATTTCACGAGACGTTTTAGTTCTTGAACCCGTAGTGTTGGGAATTAAACACACAACACACACAAATATCTGCGAGAATCAAGAGAGAAACAGAACACAAACGACACACAAGAATTTAACGTGGTTCGGTTTCCCTAATCCACGGCTGCAACAGGAGGAATTTCTTATTTCACTTGTGGTACCGATTACAAGTACAAGAATGCAATATATATAGGAAGAGTGCATCTAGGGTTTCGTAAAATGGGCCGGGCCAAAAGTCAAGTCCAAGCATCCACAAACCCAACATTCTCCCACTTGGAGGCTTGATAGTCATCAACTGCCATCCACCACGATTCCCTGTACATCGAGTAATCTTCCTCAGCTCTCCTATTGCAGCGGCCCTAACATCAGACAACTGAAAGGCCCGTTGAAGCTCTCCCAAGCTCCAACACATCAGTCACGGCAAAATCTGCCCCTGACTCGTCCTCGGTCCCTACCGGCTCCCACTGCAGACGCACACTGCCGGATCCT